CCAAGTTCAAGGCCTGCCTGGTCACAAGTTTGAGGACAGAAAAACCATCTTGAGAAACAAAACAAAAGAACATTTATCATAAATCTCAAGGTATGTCTTAGTACTAGTGTGCTTGCCTAACATGTAGGAGGTCCTAGGCTTGGCTACCAGCATCACCAAAAACCCAAAGCAAAGCAAAGCAAACCAAAAAGCATTCATTAAAGTATTGCTTAATCATCTACTGAATGCTTATCTGAACCCTCCAACATGGCACAGGCTTTGGAAAACCATTAGCTTTTCTGCCATACTGTCTAGAACACAGATCTAAGTTATATTTACACAGTCCAAACTGGCTTGAGTAAAGAGAAGAGTGTAGCTGGGCATGATGGCACATGCCTGGAATGTCAGCCATCAGAGGCAGAAGGAAGAGGATTGCAAGTCAAGGCCCGTCTGGGTCACAGAGAAAGTTCTAGGCCATCATGGGTTATAGAGCATGAGCCCGTCTCACAAAAAGGAAGGGAGGGAGAGGAGAAAGGGAGGGAAGAGAGAAAGGGAGGGAAGGAAGGAGGAAGAGAGAGAAAGAGAAGGAAGAAGAGGAGGGTGCCACGTTCTGTCTTTTATTAACAAAAAAACGAAAGCTACCCAAAGTGGTACAGCAGCAGTTTTAGGAGGCTAGGAGGCTAGGAGACATGATATGAAGAGTTCTGTACATTAGGTCCGGTTCTGCTCTGGTCTCAGGCTCTGGTGTGGGGGAACTTATCCCCATGGGTAGAGGGCACCTACTGTATGCCGTTGTTTGAGCCTGACAGACTAGAGGTGATGAGAGAGGAGTGGGGCTTTGACGATTCTCTAAGAACTGGGGCCTGGCCACACCCTCTGAGGGCCTTCTGGTCTCCTTTACTGTTGCATTTGTACATTTTGTAATGATTATGTGCCTCTCTTTTGGGCTCCGGATGCCTTGAGAGCCAGTGCAGGCTGTGGACTCTTCCCAGAAGAGTCCTTTGTGTGGGTGTTCCCCCCCTGCAGGGATCTGACTGGTGTATGGCTGTTGAATGGTTGCAGTGCAATGCCCCTGTGGCACAGTGGCAAGGGGTACCATTCACATGGTCCACATGATACACGTTGTGAATGGAGCCTGTGCAGTGTAGCCCCTGTGTGGCAAGTTATTATCAGTATATCCACAGGCTGGGCTTCCATTAAACCATGGTTACGGGACTGGCAAAGTGGCTCAGTGGGTAAAAAGCTCTTGCCTCACAAGCCCGGAGACCTGAGTTCAACCCTCAAAGCCTGCTTAAAGGTGGATGGAGAGAATCAACTCTATATAGTTGTTCTCTGACCTCAATGCATGTGCTGTGGCATGTGTGCCCTCCACACACACATCATGCACACAGACACAATAATAAATTTAAACCCCTAAAGTGTAAGGGTGCCAGCCCCATAGCAAGTACCCCACAAATGTTGGTTGAAAATAGAGAGGATGAACTTGACCCTTTCTAGTTGCATTCCATTGTTGCCGGCTTACATATTCACCCCTTCACTTTAGAAATAAGGAAATAAAACTCCTGCTGTGTGAAGTATGCATCTAAGTTGTCTGCCTTCTGTTTCTCTAACAGAGTACCTGAAACCAGGTAACTTAGAAAGAAAAGGAGCTTATGTGGCTCTGGGTTCTGGAGGCTGGGAAGTCCAGGGCGTGGCAGCAACTTCAGGCAAGGAGCACCATAACATGATGGAAGGCGGAAGGTTGAGCAAGTGAGCATGTGGAAACAGAAACAAATAGACTGGGCTGCCTGCTTCTGTAACCGTCCAGTCTCACAATAGTGATTCAGTCTCACAGGAGCTCATTCACTCCTGCCATTACTAACGCATTGCTTGAGTGATACCAGTCCTTCCACAAGGTGGAGCTCTTGTGGACTGTACACTTCATAAGCCCATCCCCTTACCACCATTGCTGTGGAAAGCAAATTCCAATCAAAGTTCAGAAGGGACAGACCACATCGGAGCCATAGCAACCTCTGTTCTGGAAGCAGCATTGATTTGGAACCAGGCCTAGACTCCAAGGCCCAGGCTCAGAGACAGACTTTCAGGCCAGGGTCTACTGAATGGTTTGGGGGAAAGCTGAGGTGGAGGGTCTCGCTTATTCAAGTATGACCCGCAGCCTGGTTAGAGACCCACAGGGCCTCCCAGCCATCCCACATCAGAGCTACCCTGTCGCCACAATCTCCAGGTGGCCAGCATTTGAGAAGCGGGGGCTGGAAGAAGGGAAGCTGGCTGGATGACCTTGTCTATGCCTCTTGGGTGGTACCTGCCTCGTGGTGGAAGAGAACAGATACATTCTGGAGAGGGTCTGAGGTAAAAGCCCATGCATCCTGGCATACACTTATATCTCTTTGAAGTCTGGATTTCTTCTAAAAATGCCACAGAATGTTTCATTCAGTAGCATAATATATCAATGGTCTCTTTAATATTTCAAAATGGTTATGTAAATTGCTATGGAGTCAGTGGTGTTTTGGAATATGTACGGGATGAATTTCCTTGTCTCTTAAATAGGGTGATAATAACTACCTCAAGAAGGGCTACAGAGACCAAAAGAGAAGGCTGGCTGTAGTAACTCTTCCCCAGAGTCAGGATGCTACAAGGCTCTCTCTCAGTGCTAAGGTCTTCTGTGCTTTCCTGCATGCAGGGAGGAGCCAGGCTCAGTCCCAGGGACATGAGGAACCTCTTGAGGCAGCTCAGAAAGCCAGAGAGATCTACCAGTTTTTAAATTTTCTTCTAATTTCATAATGTCCCCTTTGTACTGTTGCTCACTGGCTGGGCAGCCAGGTTAGCTAGAATGAAGCTCAGGTGAAACTCAGGTCTGAGGGGCTGGAGATGTGGCTTGGAGTTATTGCCTAGTGTAGGGTCTTGCTTGTTGAAATGTAGTCCACGGGCATCAGCTGGAAGCTGGTTAGGGATGCCCACAGGGCCTCCCCTTCCTCCTGAGAGAATCTCAGGGTCTCAGGGTGACGTGTGTTCACACCATCACTTGAGAGGCAGGAGGCTGGGAAAAATAAGGCTTGCTGGATAAAAGAAAAACTATGGGTGACAGGGGAAGAGGCAAGAAGATGGCAGCGACCTGGGGTTTGCAGGCCAGGGGGAGAGAAAGGGGAATTAGGCCGTTAGCAGTAGTCTGAGAGTGGCTGCAGTGTTTCCATCCCAGGGGCCCCAGTGCCTGGTGACAGGAGAGGCGAAGATGGAGAGGGAAGTAAACAGTTGTTTACTGAAGGTGGAGGAGGAAGGTTGGTTAGAGAAGGCCCAGGCAGAGAGCTGCACAGGAAGGGGTCCTAGGCCTGTGGATGCCAAGGGAGAGCCAAGGGAGGAGGACAGAGAGGAAGCAGTGGGCGCCCCTGGCTGGGCATCCAGCAAGCGTGGAGATAGGGGCGAGTGCACATGCTCCTCTACTCACCCAGTGTTACATCCCAACAGGCATGGTACAAACTGGAAATACCTTAAGCTGAAAAATGCACAAAGAGCCAGGTCTGATGGTGCATGCCTCTAATCCCAGCACATAGGCTGAGACGGGATGACTGCTGCAAGTTCAAGGCCAGACTGGACTATGTCATGAGATCCAGGCTAGCCTGGACTATGAAGTGAGTCTCAAATCCCCCAAATGCACATATGCATGTCAATACATACATGCATGCATACATACATACATACATACATACATACATACATACATACATCTGCTTGGGCTTTCTCTAGCCAACCTTCCTCTTTTGCTCTCAGTTATAGATACTAAGCATCTATCTGCCTCTCCCTCCGTATATTTATGGGTTGCTATTTGTATGTTTAGTATATATTAATAATACTGTAATAAAATATCTAAGCCAAGCAAGGTGGCACACACCTGTAATCTCACTACTTAGGAGGCCGAGGCAAGAGGGTAACAAGTGCAGAGTCTGCTGGGGCTGTGTTTTGAGGTGTCATCTCAAAAAAACAAACAAACCATACGATTGTTGTAGGCTGAGTTCTGATAGTATATCTGATTATATGGCACAGTGCTTAACAGCCATTGGACACAGAATGTTGTGTGAAGCTTCAAGGCAACACATGAACTGACAAATGAGTTGTCCAGATACTCCTTTGGGCATGGGTGGGTCCAGGGACTCAGAGTGAGTGTTAGGAATCTGTTTCTCCCCATCACTTGACTCTGCTGCATTTGCTACTGTTATTCTCAGGCTTTCCCAGACAGACCTGGACCCCCAAAGGAAGGAACAGCTCCTTCCTGGGAGTATCAGCAAAGTCCCAAGGTTGACTTGTCTTGCTCCCTGCAAACCGTGACTCCCTGTGGCTGAGCAAAGCAGGTGGTGATTGTGCTTCCAAGCCAAGGCAGTGTGACCCTGGGGGCCCAGAAGAACTGCCACAAGCACCTAAGGGAGCCGCTGAATTGAAAGACATAGCTGAGAGGCTACCAGAAGGCAACGCAGGGCTTTGTTGCCAGAAAAAGAGCTACAGAACCCGTTCTGTAATGACCAGGTTGTTTCTGATCATTGGGGATTCCTCTTGCAGGGAGAGGAAAACCTGAGGTCCCTTTTCAGCAGTTTGGGGGTGATCTGGTAATGATGGACTGAAATGGCTGAGTAGTGTGCATTGAGGAAACATCTTAGATGCCAAGTTTGATTTTTGTTTTTGTTTGTTTTATTTTTGAGACAGCATCTCATTATGTAGCTCTGGCTGTTCTGGAAGATGCCAAGTCTTGTCAGAGTCCTGGACTTCATAGGGTATGGGAGGGGGGCAGTAAGGAGGCTGGAGAGCCAGCCTTCTTTCACAGATTGGTAAAGCTGTGTGTACTTGGGGCCCATTGGGCTACCATACAATCCCTGGAGCTCTGGGTCGCCAGAGTGATGCACCAAGGGGAGCTGGGCCCTCGTCAAGGTCGGCCTCCCAGCTCAGCCGGCCTCCTGCAGGATATGTGCAGCGCCCAGCTTCAATAAAAGCGTCCCTGCATTTCCCTCTCACGCTGCTCTGTTTCTTCCTTTCAGGGTTATACTAAGGACATGGTGACAGACTTTGATGAGAAACATGATGAGTATTTAATATTGCTTCAGCAGAGAAACCGGTAAGAGCAAGCCACCTGACGGCAACCCTTGTTATTAACCAAATAAAAATTGATTTCGACTTATTAATAGCACAGGACACAGGAACAGGCACAGAGTCCCCCTCCATGCAGAGGCTGGGGTTATCACCTGCACTTGCAGCTCCACCCCTTCCCCCAAGCCTCCACCCCATCCAGTGCTTTAGTTGCATCTTTGATTGACCCATAGCAAACTGTGGGCTGTGCAGGTACCACTTCTTGTCTCATGATGGAGAGGTGGGGGCAGAGGTGTAACAGACCCCTTGCAAGTCACCTGGAAATGGTAGGCTGTACCTCTTGGGCATCAACTTGCCCTGGAAAACTGAGTTTGTGGAAAGGTAAAAGTCAATTTACTTTGTGTCTGAAGTTGCTCTGTGTCATTTAAAGTTGGGGAGGGGCTATTAGGTTCTTGTGCTGGTTCTTGCAGAAGCTCATACTACTACAGTGTGTAGTGGTCAAGGTCATAGCAACCTGGTGTGATCTGAAGGCCTCTCTCTGTTCCTTTGCAAGATCAAGCAAGTTTAATTTTAGTTCATTGTGGTTTGCATTCAGACCTGAACTTTCATATGAGCTGTATATCCCTACTTAGAGCCTAGGAGTTGCCCAGTGTTAAGGAGCTGGAACAGGTGGATACCTGTAACTTTCCTGTCCACACTGCGCAGTGCTGCCATGGGTATTTGTAGAAACACAGGTGGAGGAGGGGCAGAGAGCCTCCGAGCTGGCAGAGAAATGAGGATCTAGATTTGTGTTTTATAGTATTGGTAATGAATTCAAGTCAAACCACAAGCCAAATAGAATTCTGCAGAACCACTAACCAGATCTGCCTGGGATGGAAAGACCCAGCAAAGGTAGGAATTGGTGTTATTGGAGGGTCTGTGTTATGGGAGTAGACTTGTATTGCAGGTAAGTAGTCCGAAAGGTGTCAGCTCAAATCCCGTTCAACCCTTGTCTGGCTGTCTGGATACCTGTTGGTTTGGGGGTGCCCTGGTGATGGTGTTGGGGGTGTATGGGATAACCTCACGCATTATCGTGTAGCCTCTCCACCCATTATAGAATTTCATTAAGATCCCTGTCTCTGGGCTGAGGATGTGGCTCAGTTGGTAAGATCTTTGCCTAGCCGGGCGGTGGTGGCGCACGCCTTTAATCCCAGCACTCGGGAGGCAGAGCCAGGCGGATCTCTGTGAGTTCGAGGCCAGCCTGGGCTACCAAGTGAGTTCCAGGAAAGGCGCAAAGCTGCACAGAGAAACCCTGTCTCGAAAAACCAAAAAATAAAAAAAAAAAAAAAAAAAAAAGATCTTTGCCTAGCCTGTATGAAACCTTGGGTTCTATCTTCAGCACTGTATAAAGCTGGGTATAGTGGAACATGCCTGTAATCTTAGCACTTGGGAGGTAGAGGCAGAATGATCTGAAGCTCAAAGTCATCCTTGGGTGCATAGTGAGTTCAAGGCCAGCCTGGGCTACAAAGAGCTTGGTTATATCTACATCCCTGTATCTATGACAACAAGGCTCACTTTCATTTTCAAATATGCCCAGTGAGTTGGCAGTTCCAGAAGTGCTAAGTGGTGCCCTCTGTGCCCAACCACTTAGCAGAACTTTCCCAGCCTCCCAGGGGCAAGCAGCTCGAGTGAGAACAGCAGATAGCTCCTGCTGATTAGACCCCCATGGGTGTTTATCCTGACATTTATGCCAGGGGGTTGGATGTTTTTATTCAGTCTCTGGCAGGCTGGATGTTGCCACTGAACACCTGGGTAATGGTTTAATCATCTCAGGTGCTCATCTGGGGAGAGAGTGTCTTAGCTCCTTATGAGCAGATTGTTTCTCATTAATCGGGGATCAATAAGTGTTATCGCAGAGGTGCTGGCTGACAGCATAGATGGGAATTTCACAGATGAGGTTGCAGCATGGTGACAATTAAAAATATATCGCAATTGAGTTGCTGTGAATGGTGGGGGTGGGTATCACTGGATGCAGGCAATGAGAAGAAGCTGTAAAGGAACCCTTACCAGAGACTTGTGAAGAAGGGGATGCCCTTAATAGTGGTCAGGTTGGCTTCAAGGCACCTTTTCTAAAGTGCCAGCCACATACTAGGTGTCATAGTCCACTATCTTATCATAGGCCAACCAGACAGGCAGGTGGAGTGATTGAACCCATTTGACAGACAGGGAGTAGTCCCAGTGTAGTGAACAGGAAGTGGTGGGACCTGATTATACTTTATTTACGATTTTTTTGACATCCTCATAGTGATCAAAAGTACAGAAACCTGCCAGGCCTGCTAGTGGCCCCAAGTCTACTAAGAAAGGAGTTGGTGGGGCAAAGCTGTGGGTTACTTGGTGGTCTACTTGTGTGCCTGGCATGATGGTAGAGGCTAAGGACTGACCTGGCCCTCAGGAGTGAACCCCAGGCTGCTTAGCTGGGTGCTGAGCCCCTTAGAAGGTGCAGTGTCAGCAGAGATCTGCTTAGGATGTATCTGCCCCCAGCATACTTGTTGCCATGAGCCTTGTATTTTGGGAGTGCTTTCCATGTGCCTAGCCTCACCTAGGAAAGGAACTATTATTGTATGAAGAAGACAGACTGTGTTAATATTTTCATTTTGTTTTGGTATTTTTAATTTAAAATTTATTTATGGGAAGCATGTACATCATAGGGTGAATGTGGAAATCAGAACTTGTGGAAATCTCTCCTTTCACCATGTAGCTTTGGGGAATTGAACTTATGTCTTCAGTATGGCAGCAAGCACCTTTACCAGCTGAGCCATCTCAGCACCCCACAGTTATTAGTTAGCAGCTGATTAGTTTGGTTGTAAAGATAAAAAACAAAAAAAAACAGGGTTAAATGTACTTATTAACTAGGAAACTGTTGACTTACGGAGTGAAGAACTCAGTCATGGGGTGGGGTACTGCTGAGTGGCAGTTCACTCACCTAGCATGCACAGGCCCTGGGTTCCACCACCACCATGGCACTCTGACTTCAGGCAGAGCCAGTTCCAGGTGCATAACTTACATCATCAAAACTCTTTCCACTTGGATCTCCTCCTGGGGCAGCAGGTCCATCTCCCTTGAGGCCATGTTCTGGATGTTTCCCTCAACCACCTTTCTCAGGGACCGAATAACACAGTTGCCAGACTCTTGGATCTGGTAAAAATCTGTGTCCTCCTTCCACTCCCCACACCGCAGCCCCCTTTGCTGCCAGCTCTCTAGACGTGAGCCTGATCTTCCCAGTCAGTCCTTGTCACTCAGCCCTCTGATCATGCTGCTTGATGTTGCTCAGATCTGCTCAGGTGTGATTACATCTCCAGTGTGACTGAGTGGCTAGAATCATCAAGAAGGTGCTAGGGCAAAGCAAAGCTACCATATCACTTGAGCCTCTTCCCCGGCCCTCCCTAACCCTGCCTGCAGCACGTAACCACTCTCTGCTTCTGGACAGTCATGGTGGCTTCATGCTCACCTTACCACTGCCAGGGAGTTCATCTAGGGAGAGGGTTGGGCAATAGAGACGCCACCTGTTCCCTTCCTCTGCCCACCAGCTCTCCTCACCTTCCAAATACAGCTTCTGGGAGTTCCTTCAGGAACAATCCCTTTCCCCACTCACTTCATGTGGCTTGGGTGGGAGTGACTCCATAGTCCAATTTCTTGGGTGGCCAAGGACTAGAGCACCTCACCAGAACAAACTGATTAGCGGAGGTGGGTGGGGTGGGAGGTGTAGAAATGGAGCTTAAGCCAGGCCCTAAGGAGCCCTCCTCAGGAAGGCTGTGCTGGAAGCATTAGGAAAGAAATGCTCTCTTCCCCAAAGTAGCATGTGGGTGGGGCCCTGCCATGACAGGGCAACAGTGGGCAGGCTCAGCTGTGGACAGTTGGGGACCCTACACTCTAGACAGCCTTATGCAAAATAGCTATCCATTTTAAGGAAGCATCTTTTGGTGGTGCCACCTGAATGTCACTGTGTTCATCTGCAGCAGGGGAGTTTCTTTACCCATTCTTTTCACAGTGTGAGCAATTATCTCCTAATTTATCAGTTTCATATATCCACATTCTCATAAATCATCCTGCTTAAGTAAGGGCCCACATGCAGTGCCAGCCCCAGATCCAGGGCCGTGGGGCAATGTTTTAACTGTGTTGCTGGGACCCAGGGCGGTTTCTGGAGGGAAGTCAGGACATGTTCTCCACCTGGCAGGTCAGTTTCCTGGTGGGCCCTGAGCCTGCTGACTCCTCAGAGCACTCTTGAGTTCTGTGCTCCCAGGAGTGTGTAGATCACCCTGTGTGTAGATCATCACTTAGCGACTTGTGTTTTCCTTCTGTTCTGTGTTGTTGCCCAACAATCAGGCACATTGCAGGCTTCCAAGGCTGGCAAGAGATAAGCAGTCTGTAATCTGTGTTCCTGCCATCTTTGTTGAAAAGATTGATATGTCAGCTGCCGAAAAAATGGTTGGAAAGTAAACAAAGACAGCACCCATAATGCCACCATCTTCCTCCACAACTGACGTCGTTTTTATATTTATCATCTTCTGCTCAAGGCCCACAAACCCAGTTTTTTCCTTCCAATTTTGCACTTACTACATACATACTGTTGTGTTTTGATCAATTTTTAAAGTTAGTGTACAACGGAATTGATTTCATCATGGCATCTTTATACAGAGATACCCCTCCCTCTCATTTACTGTTTTGTGTGTGCAAGTGTATGTTTGTGCACATGTGTGTGTACATATGGAAGCCAGAGGTCAGCCTCAGGTGTCATTCCCCAGGGGCTGTCCTCCTTGGTCTGGGGCTTGCCTTGCTAATCGGGCTACAGTGCTGGGATGTCAAGTGTGTGCCACCACACCTGGCTTTTTTTTAGATCTGGGTGCTTGAGCTCAGCCTTTATGCTTGGTGGGAGAGCACTTCACTGAGTGCCGCCCACCCCGACCCTGTGAGGAGACCACAGGTATGTTCTGTGCAGCATAATGTCCCAACCTCCACTCCCTAGCATCGGGTACTGGCTTGTGTTCAGGATTTGTTGGTCTCAATACTAACCTTTTTCATGCCCAGAGTTATTGCTTGGGAATTGCTGGAATGTACTTTCTGGGAAAGGATCAAATATGCAGCATCATCTGTGTTTTCCTATTCCTCCTGAGAAGGGGCTGTGAGTTGTCAGCAGTGTCTGAGTTTGCCATACTGTCTCACAAGGGGTGACACGTCTGTTTTAATGACTCTGGAGTGATAGTACCCAAAGTTTGCATCTCGAGTCTCCCACATAGCAGCTGGGTGACCTTGGGCAGGTTACTTACCCTCTCTGTGTCTCACTTTCCTTATCTATGGAGAGGGATAATAAAGTAATCATGAAAAGTAATGTCTTCCTCAGTTGGTACTTATTCTTATGTTCTGTGTCTGTGATTGGCAACTCACTGGAACATGTTTCTCAACATTCCCATGCAATTACAGCCATTCTCAGATATACAAGGGCAGCAAAATCTTAGTTGCTTGACACACTTTGAAGAGGCAAACCCAGGAAGCTTTTGGTCTTCTCATTGTCTTTCCTATATGACTGTTGAGGGACATTAAGCACCTTGGTTTGCAGTTCTGTGCTTTTCTTAGTGGTTTTGCTATTTCAGGTGGCTCTGGATTTCGTGTGTGTGTGTGTGTGTGTGTGTGTGTGTGTGTGTGTGTGTGTGTGTGTGTGTGTGTGTGGTGTGTGTGTGCTCACGTGTGGAATCCAGAGGATAACCTCTGCTTTTGTTCCTTGAGTACCGGCCACTCTGGTTTTGAGACCAAGCCCCTTGCTATACTGATTGGCTAGATGAGGCTTGTACCCTCCTCCTCAGCACTGGATTACCATGCCTGGCTTTGTTTGTTGCTCTGTCTTTTGAGACAAAGTCTCACTATGTAGCTTGGCTGGCCTGGAATTCAGAGATGCCTCTGCCTCCTGAGTGCTGGGATTAAAGGCCTGTGCCAGAGTCTGGGGCTAAATTCAGGTCTTCATACTTTGCAGGGCAAACACTGTACCAGCTGAGCCGTCCCCGGCCAGGTGTCTTTACTTTTATTGTTTGTTTCTGTTGAGACAGGACTTCACGTTCTAGCCCAGGCTAGCCTCAAACTCCTTACAACCCTCTTGCTCCCAGTGAGGAGATTACAGGTATAACCACCATGCCTGCCAGGAAGGCAGTACAGCCAGAGCTGTTACACAGTGAAACCTTGTCTTGAAAAACAACAAGAACAACAATAACAAAAGTCAGCTTGGTGTGGTGGTACACACTTTAATTCCTAGCACTCAGGAGGCAGAGGCAGGCAGATCTCTGAAGCCAGCCTAGTTTACATACTGAGTTCCAGGACAGCCAGGGCTGCAGAGAAACCCTGTTCTGAAAGACATAATGCAGAACAAGTCTAAAAAGTCTCTTCTAAGACTCAAGGCAGTTTCTTAATTGTAGCCCCTTACAAAATCAAAAAGCAGATTGCATGCTTCCTACCCACAGTGACACAGAAAATACATTATGATTCCAAAACGGAGGAATAGGGGCATAATGAGGAAATACTGGACCAAAGCAAGACTGAAATCCAGGAAGGAAAACTCCAAATCCTGTAACTCCATGTATAATGTCAAAGAGCTTAGATGGCATCACCCTTCCAGCTTTGCTGACTGCAGCACACTGCTTTTCCTTGGGTTGGTTCCACTGTGTGCAGCTTCTCCTGGCAGACATCCCACAGCTCTGGCATCTTCAACATCCTGGGATCTCCAACGAATCCCGGCTTCACTTTCATAGCTTCTTACAATGACCTTTCTGGGTTTCTATGTAGGGACTCCCCTGCCACATGCCTTGCCTTGGCAACTTTCTTTAACCACAGAGGAAGAGACCACAACCTCTTTTCTCTGGTATCTTTCATGACTCTAAAGCCAGAACCATGTGGTAGACACTGCCAAATTCTGCTGCCTGCTTCGGATGGATCCTGACACCTCCTTTAATCATATTTGCATAAGCTTTCCTTTGTAGGTGCTTTAGGTAGAGGAAATCCCTTGGACCTTTTCCTTTTAAAAATTGCAGGATTAGCTAGGTGGAGTCTTGCCCTGAGGGCAGCACTTCCTTTATTCCATTTTCCATCAGTCCTCTCCTCCTCTCCTTCAGCAAATGCCTTGGCTCCCACATTAAATTTCCTGGGGTTCTTGTTCTCCTCAAACTGTACATTTTATATTTCCTTTTGCCCTGCTTGCTCTTTTTCATTGCTGCATAAGAGTGATCACTAGTAACCATGTAGCAGAATCAATATCAGGCTGTCTTGAAGTCTCCTCTGCCAACAAAATTAGTCCAAAACTTTTCAGTGTAGCCTCAGGCAGATTCTTAGGACAAGAGCAGAAAGCAGCCTCATTCTTTGCCAAAATATCAGAAGAATGGTCTCTGGTTCAATTGCTAATAATGCTCTCCTCTGAAACAGTCCACATTTCACTCAGCTGGGCCCCACAGTCCACATTTCACTCAGCAATACTGTCTTCCAAGCTCCTACTAGAATGGCCCATTAAGCTCTGCTTACAGCGTTCAACTGCTTTCCTATTCCCAAGTCCCCAAATCTTCCACATTCCTCCAAAAACAGCATGATCGAGCCTTTCACAGCAATAGCCCATTCCCAGATTCTAGCTTTGATTTTAGTTACTTTTTAATGCTGTAGTAAAACACCATGAACAAGGCAACTTATAAAAGAAACTGTTTAATTGGGATTACAGTGCCCTAAGAATCCTTTTACCATCATGGTAGGAGCATGGCAGCAGGCAGGCAGGCACGGCACTGGAGCAGCAGCTGAGAGCTTACCCACATACATGAAGCAGAGAAGTGGGTGTGGTGGGAGTCTTTTGAAACCTCAAAGCCTGCCTGCAGTTACACACTTCTTCCTAATCCTTCCCAAATAGTTCTACCAACTGAGGCCCAAGTATCCAAACATATGAGCCTATGGGGGCCATTCTCATTCAAACCATCACAGAGACATTATCATCACTTTGCCAAAGTAGTTCACTGCTGGCTTTGGGGACATAGAGGACAGACACTGCTGAGATCTAGGCAGGCAATCTTTTTTCTTCCAGGCTATTAAAGCATTTGAAGGCCAAGGATCCTGTACAGCTAAGGCTGGAGCACTTGGAACAAGGTTTCTCTGTCTATGTCAATGGGGCCAATTCAGAGCTGAAGACATCCCCACGGAAAGCTGTGCACACAGACTTCTCCAGAAGTGCCTCACAGGCTGAGGGATCACAAGGTGAGTGCAGACCCTTCCAGGCCAGGAAGCAGTGTTTTTAGTTGAAAATTAAGGGATGGGATGTAGCTCAGTGTTAGAACACTTGCCTGGCATAAACAAAACATTGCAAAAGAAAATGAATTAAGGAGATAAGTTAGAGACTTTGGAAATACCCTGTATGTGTGAGCTCACCAACAAATGCGTTAACTGTACCCACCTGTCAAGAAAGATAGCCTAAGAGCAAGGGAGATGAACACTCTTGAAGGTGCTAGGGATGGAGTCCAGGGCCTCACATGTGTTCAGCAATCACTCCAAGCTTAAATCCATTTTTACTCCTTTTCAAACTAGATGTGGCTTCCACGCCCAAAACCAAAGGCAGCTAGAGCAAGAAATTTCTAGTTTTTATATTACCTGAGGCTCTAATGTCCATGATTTTAAGGGCTATTTTAAATAATACCTGATATGCACATATTAACTTTAATACTTAACATCTATGAAATATTTTATTCCACCATTCATTTTTACTTTTAGTTAATCCAGCCTTCATGCTTTAAAGGGATTTCATGTGTCCACTGAGAGCCTGAGAGTATGATGGAAAAGTTCCCCACCTAGTCTACCCTGTAGGTGAACTGGAAAATGATTTGGTAGTGAATGGATAGAATAGTTAAACAGGTGGGACCAGGCTTCAGATTGGCTGTGTTACTCTGAGGAATCTACTTGGTCTCTCTGTATTAGTGTAAGTCATTGCTTTACAGGTATGGGAAGCTTCCAAGCCATTATATACTGGGAAGGTAAAAACAACAACAAAGGGACAAGAGGAGACAGTGATATCCCCAAATATTCCCCTACGAGAGCCACTGTAGTATTTTAAACACAGTTTCCCAGGAGCTTTGTAGGCCCTGGGGCTAAGAAGGAATGGCATGGCTCTTCTAGCTTTTATTGTAGGCATGCTGCTAGTTGGTGGAATTACAGAAATCAGGGTTATCTGAACTTGGGACTGCAGCAGTATATTCATTCATTCCTCAGATAATGTCTCCATCCACCCTCTTTTATACATGGCGGCCTGCTGTAGGAACTACACTTTACGTCTATGTTTTGGTGATGGCTCTTTGTGTCTGCAGAGCTACCTGATAGGATATTAGACATGTCATTTTACAGAATGGATATTCTGCGACTCTTACACTTTGCTTTCTGCTGGGCATTGGCTTGCTTGCAGCTTGCTTCAGTAGGACGATGCATCCATCTTATGCATGGCCTTGGGCAGCTGGACTGGATTGCAGATGTAGGCCATCAGTGTGAACTTGTTTTCCATGTCTCACCAGCCCCTTCTCTGTCTCTGTTGCAGATTATGGACGAAGAACCCTGTTCAGAGAAGCCGAAGAAGTCTTAAGACGCAGCTCGAGGACAGCACCAGGAAAGGTCCAGCGCCGAGGATGGCACCAGGTCTGGAAATGGGAGCAGAGCCAGGACCATGGCTCTGGCACTTGATTAGGATGAGGAGCAGCAGGCCTGTGGAGGATTTAAGCTCCTATGGGTTGGGTGGCTATAGGGCACCACCCTGTCTGCATGGACTGGTTTCTGGGGTTCCTGCCCTGCTGTGGAGTCTTCCCTCTGCCTGGGACCTCCAGGGCCCACAGGGAGTGCAGTAAGAGCAGACCCAGGCTCATTCTCGAGGGCTCATTTATCCACTTGCTTTTTATTGAATACATACTATGTGCCAGTCTTGGCCAGAGATAATGCAGGTGATCGGGACAGAACCCTACCTGGTGAACTGAGATGTCCTTTTAGGTGGCTGCTGATGTTGCTGAAACACAGCCTTCGTTTCTGAGTCCTGCCCGAGTCCCAGCACTGCCCCAGCTACACACGACCCCTCTGCTTTGCACTCACAGCACACCCAGAGCCTGGCTTTTCACATTGTCTACTCTTATTAGGGAGCAGAGGAGGCAGGTGCTTAGAAAAACTCAGGGATCTGCCCAAGGTTATGGCTAAGAAGTGCCAGAATCATGACTTAGAATCAAATCTTCGGCTCTGAGTTCTATATTCTCGCCCAACTAGACTTTCCTATGGCCCCTTACTAGCTTCCCTTGGGGATGGTTCCGGCTCGAATATGGAGGTGCTATTGTACCCAAGTGTCACTCTATGCTGTGTGTGTACTGAGGTTGAATCATGAGGTTTTAGCTCCTGTTGTATCTTTTGCATTCAGATGGCCTCAAGGACCATATACAACACAGATTGGGAGGTGTAGGCAGGGGCTCATTGTCATTATTATGGGGGAAATTGGGCATTGTGCTTCTCAGTAGACTGCAGTAAAGGTTTTCATGTGCTTGCCACCTAGCATGTCTTCACAGCAATCCAGTTGGTTAATGTGTGTCCTCATGGTGCTGCCCTAGAAATTGAGGCCCAGAAAGCCAAAAGCACTAGTCCTGGGTCACTTGACCCCTAAGTGAAGAAGCTGGGTTGGGATATGGAATGGACCTGTTGCTGCAGACGCCTTGGTCTTCATACCTGTTCTTATTGGAAACAGTTGTGCCTACTTTAGCTGGGGTCTGAAGAGCAGGCCCCCAGGACACCAGCCTGGGCGCTTGTGTCTGTCCCCAGCCATGAATGTTAATTTCTTGTTAATGAGGCCTTTCTTGCCTGCCTCACTCCACACAGCTCTTCTGCTTGTTTGGAGTGCTTCCTATTATCACAAGCCATATTTGTGTCTTAGACTGTGACTTAATGGCTGGCCCCAGAGTCCGTCCAATTTAAAAGACTTGGCCTAAGATTAATTAGCATCCCTCCCATCTCTCCTGTGGCTCTCCACTTCACAAGACTTAATCAGGGCTAATTTCCCCTTGCCTCCCAAAGCCGCTCTGCTCTAATTGCCCTTCTGCACTGCAGTAGTCAGGGGTCACTCAGTGCCTAACCAAAGGGACGGCTGTTTGAATAGAAAGCTGGCCAGGCTGGGAGTGGTGTGCACGTAGTCCTGGGGCTGGCAAGCTGGGCCAGATTGGAGGGGGGCCTCCGGCCCACAGTGCACAGCTGTCTGTCCTGGCCTGCCAGGAGAGCTGATGCCCAGGACAGCTGGGAGAGTGGGGACAGCCTCAAGGATGCCAAGACAGATCATGTTCTGTGGCATGACCAGTGTGGGATGGAGTTGAAAAGCCTGTTGCCTCCAGGACAGTGCTCAGAAATAACAGCGACCTACCCCTCTCTTCCCCTCCTTGCATCTGTTCTCCCTGTCTGAGGCAATGTGATTGGCTGTACCTCCTTTGCACACAGACCCTGAGCCATGAGGAGCTTCAGTGATGGCCGCTGATACCACCCTCAGGGTCCCAGCACCTTGGCAGAGCAGAAGTCATGTCATCACGTACATTATGTACTGTTTCTTCTACCATACTTCCTCTCCCCGCCTGGCTCTTCAGGGTGTTTGAGCTTGTAGCTCCTGGGAGTGGAAGAGAATGGGATCTGGGGTGCTTCTTTGGTGTGTGTTTTGGAGCTGGTAATGGACCTCCCTGAGCTTTACCTTTATTATTGTCACAACCTCTTGGGACTGTTAGGAAGGCTTGTGTGTGGTGTCACAGGTGGGCTCTGAGCAGTGCACTTCTTCAGCCAGGTGCCCTGGTGGCAGGAGAGGAGGCTCTGATGAGGTTAGTGCCTGCAGCCCCCTGGTGCTCATCCTCTTGGCGTGTGCCTTTTCATCTAGAAGATGGTCAGTGAAGGATACCTGCCTCAGAAGGTAGCTGATGAGGGTCCCCCAGCTAGTGTCTGTGGAGGTTCCTGCCACGCCTGGCACAGAGGTGGTGAATTGATAGTGTTGGTCATTGTTGGGATTGATGGAGGGGTTGAGGATTTCTCAGTCTGGAGGTTTCCAGGCTCTTCATTCTCACTTTTCTATTTATGTCTTTATTTTATTTGTGGGGGGAGGGGGAAGAGTGTATATGAGCAGAGGCCAGAAGGCATCAGCTGTACTCCTCTGTCACTTTTTCCTATCCCTTTGAGGCAGAATCTCTCTTTAAATGAACCCAGGATTTGTATTTTCTTAGCTAGGCTGGAACACAGCAAGTACTAGACATCCTCCTGTCTCTGCCCTCTTAGAGCTGGAGGATGCTAACACCTTTCCACCATAGTCTGCTGTGCCTTTGCTCAGGAGGCCCTTCGTGTTCCATGGTGCTGGAATCTGAACTCCAGTCCTCATGACTGCTCAGCAATCTCTCTTGACTGCTGAGTTGTCTCTTCTGCTGCCTCATTCTCATGTCTGACCTCACTTCCTCTGCTCAGTCCTGGTCATTTATGGAGCACCTTGAAGCTTTGGACCCTTAGTGCTGGGTTGTTAGCTGCAAGTGAAGCAGGCCAGCCCTGCTGGCCTGGAACTCAGGAGATAGGAGTAGGGGACAGGCCAAGACAGCAGTGACCAAGAGTAAGGCAAGTACTATGAAGAAGAGCCATGCATGCAGGAGAGACAGTGGCAGGCAGCAGAGGTACCCAGGGGCCCTGGAGCAGACCTGAGTGTGAGGATCAGTGGTCTCCTTGGAAAGACACAGCAGAGTGTGATGGAAAGGTGTGAGCCATGGTCAATGCATGGTGATGGAGAGGAGGAGCTGGGGACCTGGGTCACAGTTATATGGCCGATCACACAGGCTGAGGAGTCTTCATAGCAGACTGAGTGCAAGGGCTCTGGGAAGCACCAAGATGGGAGAAGCTGTCTTTGGAAATCTCTTGGCTGCTGTGTGCAGATAGGACCATCCTATCCACCCCCACAACTCAGGGCTTGCAGGATCTCCGAGGCTGTGTTCCTGAATCCACACAGCTCATCTCTGCCCCTCCCCACAGCCCCACTCTGTACCCTATCCTCTGGCTTCACTGACCCATTGCACCCCTCCAGGTCAGTTTCTCACTCCTGGATTGGTTGAAACTTCTAAGAGAAATTATTTGAGTGTCTCAGCTCATCTGTGTTACTCAGGCTGTGGCCTGTGGTAGTTGTGGTAGTTGGACTGTGGTAGTTGGCCTTGGTGTGGTGCTGACTGCTGCCTGAGTGGGCTATATGACTCAAGGTCACCTGTTGCTAATCCTGCCTGGCCTTGAACAGCCTGGTGGTGGGGTATGATTACAATTTATGGTCTAAAATTCTGGAGTTGGGCAGTATAGCCTTGGTGTGTCACTACAATGTTATTATTGTCACCAGGATGAGAAGCTCATTGACCGCCTCTGGATTGACATCTTCTGGCCCTAAGAAATGGAGTTAAGTGGAAAGTATCTCCAAGGTAGAAAGTGCCAGAGACAGGTCTTTGGGTCCACAGAAGATAGAGGGGACAGTCTCTGCCCTCATACTTCTGGAGTTTTAATTTTTTTTTTTTTTTTGAGACAGGGTTTCTCTGTGTAGTTTTGGTGCCTATCCTGGATCTTGCTCTGTATACCAGGCTGGCCTCAAACTCACAGAGATCCACCTGGCTCTGCCTCCTGAGTGCTGGGATTAAAGGCATGCACCACACTGCCCAGCTGAGTTTCAAATTTTTAATTCTTTATTTACTTTTAAAAAGTTTTGAAATGGGGTCTCATATAGCCTATGCTGGCCTTGAACTCACTATGTAGTTGAGGCTACCCTTGAAGTCTTGATCCTCTTTATGCACCTCCTTCATGCCGGGATTACAGGTTTGAGATTCCATGCCCTAGCTGTTTCCATCTTTTGGCTGGGCTCCTCTGTCTTTGGGGGTAGCCAGATGGAAGCTGGTGGTTAAAGTGGCAGAGTCCCAAGTAGCCAGTGGCCAGTTCTTAAAAGCTACCCTACCAGGAATGGGACCATGACCCTGTCCCAGTCTCAGGGTTTCTTTTATACTGCAGGGCCCACCACAAAGGGCCAGTGGGGTCACACTGTCACTTCTGCTGGCCGTGGCCTGGTGAACAAGGACTTGGTTATCACAGTGTAGTCTTAGCCTTGTTGACAGGCACCTCCCAAGCTGCTGCTCCCTGCTCCTGGGCTTCCTCACTTCTCATATCCCTGTCCCAGTCTGACAGTCTCACCTCTTCCTGCAGGGTCGAATTCCATTCTTGTAGGCCCAGACCAGCAAGTGGGAGCACTTTGGTCCTAGCTACTGAAACAGAAGGGCTTTCCCAGGACTACAGGCCTGAAGCTCATTTTGCCAGGAGGCTATAGAACCACCCATGATGCTCCTGTCCTTGGGGATAACCAGAGGGAGGCAGGTAGTTAAGGTAACAATGTCCCCAGTGGCCAGTTCTTAAAAGCCACCCCATCAGAAATGGGACCATGGCCCCGTCCCAGTTTCAGGGTTTCTCTTGTACTACAGAGCCCACCATAAAGGGCCAGTGGGGGTCACACCATCACTGTTGCTGATCATGGCCTGGTCAGTAGTGGGGTTTGGGGGCTCTGGAGGTTGACTGGATGAAGGCAGCAGGCTCCCAAGCCACCACCTTTCCTATGGAGCAGCCTGCTGGTGATACCCTGGCATCATCCCTGCTGGCCGTTCCCTTGCTGCTTCTGGGCCTTAGATCTCTCTGCCGCCATCAGTGGATTAAGATTTATGGCTTCCTCAGCCTTGTAATACTTGGGTAGACAGTGGCCTAATCAACAGAGCCGCCGTTTACCAAAATGCTGTCAGCTTTGATAAACGTCACTGGCTCTCGGCATTAAATCGGTAGTGAAGGGATTGGCCTTCCAGTGATTTACTGTGGGCTAGACTCTCAGGAAAGGTCTCCATAGCAGGTTTGCTGTGGGATGAAAGTGGCCTTGGCTGTCCCTCACTGCAACATCTGCTTCCTGGGTCGCTTCAGCCGTATGAGCATCTCGAGTATAGCTCACCTCTAGGTTGGGAAGCTGGGTCCCTTTGCTACCTTCTGACTCCTGACCATGTCAAGAGCTGATAAACCTGGGAAGAGCTGATCAAAGACCAGCTCCGCACCCCAGTCTGCTTTGGGGGGATCGGTAGAACCCTTCCTCCTCTAGAGGGTGCCGTTAACATATCGCACAACCCGTACAAGCATGCAGGGCATCCCCTGTGCTTGCTCTTTTTGTGTTTGACAGTACACTTCAATGCACCCTCTTAGAACACTGTATGAGGAGGTGCAGAAGACACACAAATAACTCCGGGCATGAACTGGGTGGAGTGTGGGCTGAGCTTGAAGTGAGCAGCTTTGGGAGGTTTGTGTGGAGAGGCTTTTAAATCCTCCTCCAACATAGGTACTGCAAAGGTCTGCCAGGGTCTGGGCTTGCAAGTAGGCAGGAAAGAGCAGCCACTTATAAACACCCACTCCTGGTAAAGCAGCATGCCAATCGGGGAGCCAACCTGGAGCGTCATCATCCCTCCATGCAAGGTGGAAGGTGGGAGGCCAGGAGCATGCATGTGGCTGGGGCTGGAATCTGCCAGCCTTGGTGTGGGTGGGGCCGTCCCCCAGGTTGTGGGCAGAGGAGGCTCCCCAGGCTAGGGCGGGAGAGCAGGCCAGATGGCGGCTATTTATTACCCTCTGGGCACCCACTCAGTGTTGTGAGCACTTTCTGGACCACAGAGTTAATTTCAGCACTGTTGCTTCATAACCTGCAGTGTTCACCATGGTGCTGAGTGGACTCAGGGGTGGGGCACTGGTGTCTGGAACTTAGTGCAGTGAGAGCTTCGTGAGGGCCTGCTGACTAAAGGCCTTGGGGCTGACCACAAAGCTGTGTTTGAATATTGGATATCACTGGGAAGCTCTGCTGTGCTGAGCTGCTGGGGAGGAGGCCAGGAAGTTGCTGAAGGACTGGCTTCATCTACATCCTGGCTCCTTGCTGGATGTAGAGCTCCTTCTATGGATGTGCCAACCCAGAGGCCGGCCAAGCTGCACCTCCCACTGTCACTTGCCAGCTTCCTTTCAGGCAGACCTCAATCTCCTGCCTTTCAGGAGATTTTCCTGTGCCTCAGGGTGTCAAGATAGCCCCTAGCAGCTCCTTCCTTACATACTGTCCCTGAGTCTCGTATCTCTCCTGGTCCCAGGAACTATCACTTAGTATGGTGGGCAGGAGAGGGAGGTGGTATCTGCAGCTCTGGCTTAGGTCACATGTTCCATCTTCCCCTGGTGGAGGAACTCAGTTCTACCAGAACCACCGGGATCAGTGGTTGACAGGAGTTCCCAAGAAAGAACTAAGGTGCTTTCTCCAGAGGCAAAGGACAGGACAGACAGGCAGGGTGTGTCCAGGCTTGTATGGATTTTTAGAAAAGAGGGGAGGCAAAGGTTAATACTACAGGTCCACAGGCAGCATTCAGCAGTAGCAAAGCCCTGGTCCAAGCCCTCCCCTTTCTAGAGAAAGGACCAGAAGGCTCCAAAGGGTCTTGGTGACTGGTGACTCTGGCTACCCCTTCTGACCTAAGTCTGGTCAGCCGCTTTCTTTTCTCCCATCTTCTCCTGGCCAATAGGTCCCAGTGTTAGGGTGCTGCTGAGTGGCCCAGAGGAAGAGCTTGGCATGCCTCCCTTGGCCTGGAGAGAAGAACGAAGTAGTGAAGTCTAGAAGGAAGCCATCCTCAGCTAGAGCTAGCCCTGGGCTTTGAAGCGGGAAGGGGATACAATGAGGATGTGTGGAGAACCATCCCAAGGCATTAAAAGTGGCCTGATGGTCCTTCTTGTTTCTCTGCTGGGGGACATCTTCCTTGCTCCCATAGACAGTTGCCTGTTCCATTCTCACTCTTGAGCCACACATGGACTGAAGGCAGGGAAGCAAACAAGCCCGCAGAGACACAGGAAGGGGCTTCTGTGGGCTCAGCTGGACTGGCAGGGCCCTGGCAGTGGCTCCGACTGGCTCAACAGTCACATGTGATAGAATGTGCAGGGATTAGTGTGGGAGCCTTGCATGCTGGGTGTATCAAGTAAGGTCTGAGTTTGCTAAGAGTGGCTTGAATGATGTGACAACAGATGTCACCCGTCAGCTGACTGAGTCCTTTTGTTCTACGCAGGTGGAAATCATGAGGAAGTGGGGAGTAGCTCCTAGTACTGGCAGTCTTGGGCCCAAGGGAGAACTAAGGTGCTTCTCCAGAAGGCAAAGGCAGGACAGACAGACACAGAGCCCTGACAGTCAGAGATTCCAGGTCTTAGAAGTCAGAGACAACCCTAGGTGCTCAGGTTAGAGGTTCCCTGTTCTGAGTACCAATTGCCAGTAGTTAGGCACTCAGAAGCTAGTGAGATCCTGAGCTCTATGCAGTCAGGCAGCAGCATGTGCTAAAGCTCTGCGGCCAGTCACTGTGGGATTCTCAGTGGCTACCATGGCTAGTGGTATAACTCTCAAGACCATGAGCATTTGGGGTTAGCAGCTTCCAGAAACTCTTCCAGAAACCAAGGCCTGCAGTATCTTGCCTAGCATCTTTTGTGCCTTCCACAGCCTTGGCTCACAGCCTGCTCTTTCTTCTCCATACCACACTGTCCTCAGTCATCTCCCCCACCCCCACTCTGCCCCACCCACTCTCTGGAACTCTCTAGCTGCTTTTTTTTGCCACTGGCTGCAGCTGCCACCGCCTCTGCTGGCCCTCTTTGTGTCACCAATTCAGCCCACTCTACTCAGGATAAAAACCACAAGTGGTAAAAGCTTTCTGTGTGGTCTGATGGTGCAACATCTGGGGGCAGCAGAGGAGCATCTCCTTGTAACTCCGAATGCTAGCTGAGCTGGGCATGGAGCACTCCCGTCACTCCCTTCAACTCCTACCTTTTGTTGTTCATATGGGCCCTTTGGTCCTTCTTAGCTGCTCAAGGGTGGGCTGTGTGTGTGTGGGGGGGGGTGGTATGCACACCTGCCACATGAGCACAGGGGAAGAATGGGCAATAGAATTCTGGAGTGGTCTATAGCCCCCAACACCTGCTACAGGTATGTGTTCTTCAAAGAAAGATGCAAAGAATGCTTGAAGGAAGGGAGGCTGTAGCAGGGGCAGCTTGTGTGGTCCAAAAAGCTTTTCAAGCTTTCTGTACACTTCACTTTGGCATACCTGTGGTGTGTCAGCCAGGCTTTCCCAAACACAGGGTCAGGTAGTTCACAAGGCTCTTTGGGAAAAGTCGAACACCCATAAAAATTCTACTGAAAAATAATCATTAAAATTCTGATATTTTCTACTGCACACTTTGCAAATATAAGGGAGAAACAAGCAGAGGTAGTATGACCCTGTGAAGCCGTAGCTACTGAGCTAGGCACAGTGGCCACAGTGGTAGCTCCGGTACTCGGGAGGCTGAGGCAGGAGTTTGAGGATAACCTAGACTAAAGAGACCTGATCTTTAAAAAACTAATCAAATTCCTGTCCTGCTCAGGGACAGTACCTCTTGAGTCCCATTCTTGTGGGCAGCTGTCCTTGAGCAGAATGGTATCTGTTCTCATTTCAACACTCTGAATTTCTGTGTCCAGAAATCCGTACAGATCAGAACTGAAGCTGGCCCTCGGCTCCACATTGAACCTCCTCTGGATTGTTCAGAGGATTTTGAGTCGTCTAAGGATGTGACTGGCAAGGCCAAGGATACCACTGTGGATCACACACAGGTAGGGACTGCCCTCAGCCTGCACTCCCATAAAAACGAGGTCTCGTGCTGTGCTCTTTCCAACACCTACTTTGACCATTATTCTTCCCACATCTCACACATTAAAAAAAGGCATGGTGTGTGTGTGTGTGTGTGTGTGTGTGTGTGTGTGTGTGTGTGTGTGTGTGTGAGAGAGAGAGAGAGAGAGAGAGAGAGAGAGAGACAGACAGAGAGAGAGAGAGAGACAGAGACAGAGACAGAGAGAGACAGAGACAGAGATGCAGTGAAGCACATGTAGAGGTCAAAGGACAACTTTGAGGAGTCAGTTCTTGTAGCTTGAGTTTTCCTGCTTGGCCCACAGTCAGGACAAATCTCTATCACCTGCCAGTCCCACAGCCGCTCAGACCTGACCAAGTAAACACAGAGACTTATACTGGTTACAAACTGTATGGCCGTGGCAGGCTTCTTGCTAACTGTTCTTACAGCTTAAATTAAACCATTTTCATTAATCTATACCATGCCACGTGGCTCGTGGCTTACCGGCATCTTCACATGCTGTTTGTCATCATGGCGGCTGGCAGTGTCTCTCTGACTCAGCCTTCCACTTCCCAGCTTTATTCTCCTCCTTGTCCCGCCTATACTTCCTGCCTAGCCAATGGCCAATCAGTGTTCTATTTATTGACCAATCAGAGCAACACATTTGCCATACAGAACATCCCACAGCAAGTTCTCTCCTACTGTGGGATCCTGGGATTGAACTCAGGTCATCAGGCCTGTGCAGCAAGCACTTTCGCCTGCTGAGCCATCTTGCTGCCCTTATCTCACACATTTTGTTACATATTTTGGTACATAGAGCATGGGCCACACATCTGTGTTCCTGGGTAGGTCAGCTAGCATCCAGTCACTCTAAATGGAGAAGGGGCTGAGAGGGGAGGCCAGTGTAGCAGGCTTCCTTTGGGGCCACCAATCTGCTCTCAAATCAAGACTCTGAGACTTAATGTTAATTATGAATGCTTGGCCTTAGCTTAGGTTCATTTCTTGTTAGCTCTTATAACTTAATTTAATCTGTTTCTCTTCACCTACATTTTGCCTCAAGGCTTTTACCTTCCTTTCATTCTGTATGTCCTACTCCATGCCTTGCTGGCTGGCCCTTGCCTGGCTGCCTGACCCCGGGTGTCTCCCTCTCTTTCTCCCTCCTTCTCTCCGTCTCTCCCCCTACTTATTCTCTGTGCCAACCAGCCCTACCTATCCTTCTTAGCTTAGCTATTGGCTGTTCAGCTTTTTTGTAGACCAATCAGGTGCCTTAGGCAGGCAAGGTGAAACAGTAAAACATCTTTACATAATTAAACAAATGCAGCATAAACAAAAGCAACACACCTTTCCATAATTAAACAAATGCAACATAAACAAATGTAATACATCTTAGCATAGTTAAGGTAATATTCTGCAACATAACAAATGTAACACATCTTTACATAGTTAAAGTAATAATCTGAAACATAAACAAATGTAATACACCTTTACATAGTTAAAGTAATATTCTGCAACATAAACAAATGTAACACATCTTTACATAGTTAAAGTAATAATCTGAAACATAAACAAATGTAATACACTTTTACATAGTTAAAGTAATATTCTGATCTGAAGGGGCTGAGGTCAGGCAGAGAGTGACACCCCATCTGCCTGTATGTGTGTACCTAGGCCTGTCAGGCATTCTGTATCTCAGTGACCCCGGGCAGCAGACCACCTGTGGAGCACTCAGAGGCTTGGGTATCTGCAGCTTACAGCCATGTTTGTACCACAGCTGATGGGGGTCAATGCATACTTGCTGTCCCTTCTTCAGACCACCATCCTATTTCCAGTAATAGTATGTCCCAGGCTTTCCTGCCACAAGTGTTTCCTGACAATGCATTCTTGAGCCTTGGCTTATGTTCTTAGCACCGTAGACACAGAGATCAACAAAGCACATGAAGTGTCTGTTTTTAACCAATTAATGTTCCAGGCGAGATAGAAATAGGCAGAATGAAATAAGATAATTTCAGTATCACCAAGTTCACTGGAAGAAACAGAAGAGGGAACTGGGCATGGTGGTGCACATTTATAATTGCACTGCTCAGAGACAGAGCAGGAAGGCCCTGAGCAAGGCCAGCCTGGGCTACATAGGGAAACCTTTTCTAAAATAATCATAACAAAAGTAAATGAAATCAGAAGAGGGAGATGGACAACATGATGTTGGCTGGACAAGAGCACATAGGCAGGCAGCAATGTGAAGAGTATCCCAGGCAGGGAACTGCCTGTGCAGTTGGCAGGAGGCTGGGCTTCAAGGAGCATGATGCCAACACTATGTGAATAGGAGAGCATGGAGTGAGTGGAGACATTGAATAAGGAGACAGCAGGGTGGGCTAGAAGGTGCATAGTGGGCCTTGGCTAGAGAGTGGAAATGGAATTGGAAAGTGGAAGTTGCTCTAAGGCAGTGGTTCTCAACCTATGGGTCATGACCCCTTTGGGGGGTTGAAGGACCTTTTCACTGGGGTCACATATCAGATATTTACATTACAGTTCACAACAGTAGCAAAACTACAGTTATGATATAGCAATGAAAATAATTTTATGGTTGGGGGTCACCACAACTTGAGGAGCTGTGTTTATTAAAGGGTTGCAGCATTAGGAAGGTTTGGAACTACTGTTCTAAGGGGACAAGCTTTGTAATTAAAGTGAATGAATGCGGAGGCTGGGGAGATGGCTCAGCGGTTAAGAGCACTGGCTGCTCTTCCAGAGGGCCTGAGTTCAAGTCCCAGCAACCACATGGTGGCTCACAACCATCTGTAATGAGATCTGGTGCCCTCTACTGGCTTGCAGGCATACATGCAGGCAGAACACTGTATACATAATAAATAAATATTTAAACAGGAAAAAAAAAGCATGAATACATATTCTCTCCATGTTACATAGAAACAAAATTCTGAGGCGATTTCAGGTGAAAGTCAAGTTGCTCAGCTGTGGGCCCTGCCTGAAGATTCATAGCTTCAGCCAGGGCCTTCACCTTCTGTGACTTCTGTGGTTGAAATTCGAGTGACAGAAAGAGAAAGGATCTGGTCTGGGAGGACTGTCCAGGAGCCCACTCTGACCTCTGTTCTGTGTTTGCAGTTCCTTGTTTGCTCAAAGGGCGACACAGGGAAGGAGCTGGGACCCTGCTTCCTCCTGTGCTGCCTGGACACTTGCACACATTGCACACGTGGAGTTGTTTTCTTTTTCTTTCTTCTAATATTTGTGAGTGTGTGTGTGTGTGCGTGTGTGTGTGTGTGTGTGTGTGTGTGTGTGTGTGTACGTGTGTGCATGTGTACATGTGTGCGTGCTGAGGCTCATATGGGAGGTCAGAAGTCAACATTATGGACTCGGTTCTCTTCTCCCCTTTACATGGGTTCTGGGTGATGAACTCAGGTCATCAGACTTGCCCAACCAGCACTTTTACCCATGGAGCCTTCTCCAACGTTTCTCCTCGTCTGCCCTTCTCCTCGTTTTTAATGTAGTCCCAGCCAGCCTCAACGCCAAGATCCTTCTACTAGAACCACCACACCTGGCTCACCATTTGCTTCTGAATCCACCAACAGTCCCCTGCTTCGGAACAGTCTGTACAAAAGAAACCTTCATTTTCTTTCAGCTGGATCCTCGCCACATTCAGTCTGTTATAATCTACCCCCACACCATGTTCCAGAGTGCTGTGTGCCCTGTGAGCTGGAGACCATAGTTGTTTGCCCATGGGGAAGCACCTGGCACCTTCTGTTAAATAGATACCTTGTTCCTCTTTGGCAAGCTCCAGCACCCTGCACACTGGACAGCAGAGTCCCTCCCAGGCTTCTCCTGCCCTCAGCATTAGCAGCATTCCTCAGTGCACATGCTCAGTTGTAGCCCCTGCTTCTCTGCCAGCACTTCATGTTCCCCACTGTGAGCACCTGATTATATTTCTTTCTTGCCTTTCCCCCGACATCTTGAGAGGGCTCTCCTTAAGGCTTCACAGTCAATTTCCCCTTGGAGTTATTTCCCTGCGAAAGGAGAGAGAGAGAGAAACAGTGGCGTACTTGCCTGCCACCACAGAAAGAAGCATTGAGAGATGCCATCTGCACAGGGACAGAGAAACTCAGGGCCTGGCTAAATATACCCAGCTTGGCACGAAGCAAGGGAGGCCTGAGCTGGAGCAGAAAGAACCCTCCTCTTCATAGAGGCTTTGCACCTCACCTTTGCTGTTGGAACATGCCAGCCTTTTGCCTTCCATCACATCCTGTGAACTCCAGTTTCTTGGTAGCTTTGAGTTCACAGCCTGGAATGCTGGAGGCGTGCTTCGTCAGCCCCCAGTGCTGCCTTACATGGTACTGTGGGAAGACTGAATTAGCAGTTGACACTGATGTAATCAGGAGATTCCGTGTGGTTATTAGGGATTTCATTACTGTAAGAACAATCAGATGTTGGTTTGGTTTGGTTTGGTTTGATTTTCTGAAACAAGGTTTCTCTGTGTAGCCCTGGCTGTCCTGGAAGTCACTTTGTAGACCAGGCTAGCCTCAAATTCACAGAGATCTGCCTGCCTTTGCCTCCCCAGTGTTGGGATTAAAGGTGTGTGCCACCACAGCCCACCCCATAATAAAAAATGTAAAACCCAAATATAAAAGCATATAGTGTGTCAGGAGGCGATGGGGCTTGTAGAAACAGCAGAGCAGAGATTCTGTTAAATACTAAGGCATGGCCTCTGATGAGGCAGTAATGAAGTGGGACCCTCAGGAGTGTGAGGGAGTGAGCCTGTGGAGCAGTGTCCCAGGCGAAGGGAGCAGCAGAGAATGCCACGGCCCTGCAGTGAGGAGGGAGGAAGGAAGTGGGGGGGTTTGAAAGAGCAGCTGTGAGTCAGGATGGTAGGTCTAGGGGACTGTGATAGAGACAGGATTTTCCTTAGGTTGGACAAGTAGCCTTCACAGGGTTCTGAGCAGTTTTCCAATTCTGATAAACAGAGGATAACTTTCTAGAGAGTTC